CTTTTTCATTTCTTTCCCTCTTAAAGGTTAAAAAAATAGCAAGTGCCATGTGGTTGTCCTGTAATTATTTCATAAGGTTCTTTCCATGATATAAATGTAAAGTAAAATACAAATCAAATAAGTAGTATTTCCATAATTTAGTATGCTGAAGACACAGATCAACTGTAATCAAAGTAATGTCCATATAGGTATTTATGAATCTCATCCATACAGCATGGGTAAATTGTAAGAAGATACAATTTATCAAATGCAGTTCCTCAGTCCTCATAAATGGTGAATTACCCTTACAGATGTTTGCCTAAGAAATTATCAGCTACAGAGGTACTTTGCTAAGAAACACAATCTGTTAGGTATGAAACCTAAGAGAAGCATGCTGTCTGCATTTTTGACTCTAGGAAGGATTTAGATGATAATTTGTTGACATTTTAACTAAATTTTGGCTAGGAACACATAAATCATGTTGTTGCAGAACAAATAATCACTGAACATCCATCCCTAGCTAGTAGTATTAAGAACACGCTACTACCGTTGACTTAACACTCCCTGAAATGACAACTCTACGATGCATAAAACTCCGTGGAGCTCAGAAAAGAGGCTGCTGGTGTTTCCCATAGTTTTACATAAGATCACCCAGGAATCTGTGCATGATAGATGAATTGAAAGTGCAGAATGCCATCACTGGGGCTGGAGCTGTTACTGTTTTTCATTTCAGTTTGCACCAGAGAGTAGCTTGAGTCTAAAGAGCAAATGGCATGCCAACAGAAGCAAGCATGTGACCTGGGTCGAACCATCCAAATTGTTGCCTTTAACCATTTGATTTATGAAATTTACAATAAGCAATAAGAATGTTTGTCAAATAGCAACGACATCTGAGTCTATACAGTTTGTTTTGTGGGACAAAGTTGGTTTGGTAGAAAAGCTTTGTACATGGGTGATTTCTGGTTTATTGGAAAAAAAATGGAGATTATTTTGACATAATTGAATTTGTAGAAAATAAGGAAACGGCAGCAGCTGTTTATCAATATGAATAAATAATTCATTGAGATCATCATAATATTCGTCATAAGGTAAGCTGCAATGTGTTAAATAAGGTAAGCTAAGAGAGCCAGAACAGACAGAGAGCATGATAGTTGTAAGAGACCTGTCATAGAACTGTGACCTGGGAAAATGGCTTCCCCTCCAGGAGTTTACTCTCCCCAATTATGCAAAATACAAATGACAATGCAATCTTTGAGGGTTTCCCTGAGAATTCAAAGACTTCTGCTTGAGCACTATTACTTGAGCACATTACTATTATTTAATTTATCACTGATAATATATTTTCCATTGCTGTCTTTATTATTAATTGAAGTGAAATTTGAAAATATTATGCAGGGGCAAGAAGGAAGAATTAGTTCTCAAGACCTGCTCAAACTCTGCTGAGCCTGCTAGCATTCTTACAGTTGCCGAAAATGTCAGCTACTATCTAAAACATTGTTTTTTAATAAAGAGATTCTCAATGAGGGCTTACAGCAGGATGGCTGACAGCTCAGCATAGTGAAGAGATCACTAGAATTAAATACCAAAGACCACGTTCTATTCTACTTCTGCCACATGTGAGCCCTACCCTTGGTTGAAGGTCATTTAACCTTGAGGACCTTGATTTACTGAAGTATAAGTCACTGGCTTATTTCTTACAGTGAAAATTACCTCTCAGGTCCAGCTGGCCTGCTCTAACATGATTGTAGCTGCAAGAACAGGAAGATAGGAAGCAAAGGGCTAGAGGTTTAAAGAGGTGTGCTTCAGTGTCTTATAACTAGGAGCACAAAGAAAGGGAAGCAGACATGGTCTGAAGGGGAGAGGAGTCTATTTTCAGAGAAATGGTGGGAAGGGCTTTCAAAGAAAGTGAAACGATTTGAATTTGAACAGCAGTTTGAGAAATGGAGTCAAATAAAATGCACAAGTATTTACATTGTCTCGGGGACTAAAAGGCTGACACTAAGGAGGGACTGGCAGTTTTGTATCTGGTTAATAAAAAAAGTAAAATAAAATGAAAAAACTCTGTCCCTATATCTGATAGAGTGGGTTTTCATGTGTTTGCTTGGCAGGCTGTGGAGGAGAAAAACGGATCAGAGATGTAAGAACATTTGAAGAGGAAATAGACTAATATGGTCACGTAGAGATGCACATTATATGTATAGTGACTCAGTGTTTATAAAACACAGCAATATGGCATGAGTGTGGGAAAGGGATCTATTAGAGGAAGGGGGTTGATGGGGACGGGAGGCAGATGAGAGGGGGTACAGGATGACAGTTATCAGAATGCATTATATACATGTATGAAATTGACCCTAGACATATTTCATTAATAAAAAAGAAAACATACTGCACTAGGGGTAGATAGTGAGACAGAGGGAGTGATCACCCCCTGTGGTTTGGATGAGGAGACTGAAAAGCTGCACAGCAGGGGAATGAAAGAGTATAAGGAGCAACTGGAAGTTAATTCTTCCTCCTCGGAGGGCTAAAGCAGATACTTTCCTCCTCTACACAGTCACTTCCCTGAGGAGAGATGACTTGGCTTTTGAATCAAAGTAGTTTTAAAAGCACAGAGGAATGCAACACGGTAGAATCTTGTCTCAATAAAAAAGGGGGGTGGGGAGAAAAAGGGGGAAAGCAAATGAAACTACTTTTTTTTAAAAACATCAATTACTATGTAAATTTATCAGATAATATTCAATTCTCCATTGAAATATTGACAATAATAAAATAAATTTGGCAAATGAATACATTGGTTTGCATACCAGATATATGTGACTTATGTTCATATTTTATAATTTAAGGAAATAATTTAGAAATTCTATGTGTTAGAATATTAGCAATTTTTAAGTAAAACATTAACTTGTAAAATATTTCATTGTTTTTGTGGAGATAAAATTAATGATAGACTGAAGAAATAAATAAAAGTACAGAAGGGATTCAGAGAGTGACTGAGAAAGGGAAAACTTACTTTTCCCTAAGAAGGAGGTGGATGAGGAGCTAAGTGAAACATTTACAGTGGGCCCATAAATAAACGACAAACTTTCTCAAACCAGCAATGCACACATGTGATTAAAAATGAAAAGAAAAGTCCTACAACCATTCTCTTCTTGACATACAGTATGGCCCACAAACATTTAAGAATTAGTAACAACAACAAAAAAAGCTTGGGAAATAAACTGGGGAAAGTTAATTTTTTTCTATATATGGGGAATAAAACTGTCTACTCTTCAATAAAGGAAAGGCCATTCCTTAACAATATTGCTGAAGAAATCAAACAACAAAGAATCCTATATAATCTATGGCCCTTACAAAACAAAACAAAAGCCAAAATTCAAGTTTCCCTAGATTCTTTCTCAGGAACAACAAAAAGACCTGTTATTTTCTCAAATGTTTTTTGAGACTTTCTAAGGTAAACTGATTTTCTATCCATTTTAAGTGAAAATATATTGTTTCTCTAAGTGGCCACAGTTTGACTGGGGTTCCACCCAATTCCCTCACTGTCAGTGTATGAAGTGTCTAAGCCCTAGACTTCTCTGCCCTGAAGGAGAGAATTTAATTATGACACGTTAGATGCGGACTCCGAGACGGACATGGCATTCTGTGTATTAAGAAAAAGACCTGACTTACTGATTTCATTTATGCTTGACCCCTTGGGAGAAAAGAGGAAAAAAGAACAAGGTTACCATGTCTACCATGTATAAACCACTACTTTTACTACTTTTATCCTTTAAGGAATGTGACTAATAGTAAACAAGGATTGCATGCCTTTTCTTTATGAGATGGAAGAAGTGATCAAGTTCCCAGGGTCATCATACTGACAGAGTTCACTGTAACTCCCTTGCTTCCTATGAAGCCCCAAGGCCTTAGGGACAGTTCCTATGTTGCAAAAGTGATCAGTATATGTTTAGTCCATACAATATCATCTGCAATCATACAGGTAAGTATGATCTCTTTAGTGCTCTAAGGCTCAGTAGCAAGGCCCTTGAGGTGAAGCAGGTCCATGGACAGCCACAAGAAGGGAAGATGACTAGCAGAACCAGTTTAGGTAGTTTAGTGTTCTTCACTGTTTCATTGGCCATTTTGACAGAGCTTGCATGAAACACTGCGATGCTGAGAATGTTCTTATCCAGGGGCAAAAGCTATGGATCAAGTTGTGGTGCAATTTGTAAGTGAAGGCAGAAAGTCTTCATGGTTTCCACATGTCTAGACTGGTTATCATTTACCAAGTCAATGAGCAATGGAGGTTTACAAGAGAATTAGGGTATTATAATCTTTGACAGACAAGGAAGGGAAATTTAGAAAAATGAAGTCATCTGTGCAAAGTCACAAAGTCACAAAACTGACAAATGGTAAAGCCATGACCGGAACTCCCTCTTATTACTCATCATCTGGAGATACTTATATTGTTTTATAATGCCAACTGGCAGAAACAGGGTACATACGTTTTTCCCACTTGCCTTTGGTTCTGCATTCGTACATTTACTTCCACAAAGGTCACCGCCATCCATTTCAACTTTGTTCTTTCTTCAAGCTATTCTCAGTCCCCTAAGTAGCACAGCCATGAGTCCCAGTCTTTCCTACTTTCCTCCCCCGACCCCCACCCACAATCTCCATAACCACATTACATCAACAGTTTATTCTGAGGCAACAATAAGGTTGCATTGAGATCTCAGAAAGCAGAAAGGGAAAGATTAGGGGTATAGTGCCTGAAAAGGAAAAGGTTCCTTTAAAAAGTGGTTCCTAAAAAAAGTCTCTGTCCAGGACTGAAAAGGAAGATCAAGACTAGTGTAGAAACAGAGAGAAATTTACGAGCTTAGAGGGAGACAAAATATGAGACACACACAAGGCAGAAGCATATGGAAGTTAAATGCAAGGATTCCACAGCATCATGTCCTGGACACAGAACAGTAGTTACAATCAACAATTTAAACAGATAGATTGCCTTGTTATTAAAAGGCACAGGCATAAAAGTTTAAACTCACCCGTAAGATTTCCTCAACACAGCTTGGATCACTGGGAAGACTTACCTAAAAGAATCAAAATAAAACAAAATAAAATAAGCACCAGCTAGTTATTCTCAGAGAAGCTTATTGTACAACAGTTTACACTGTAGGATAAGTCATAAAGACAGAGAAAACAACCATCAATGCATTTTCCCCCTTATTAAACACAAAGCAGCAAAGTCTGCAAATGGCTAGTTTTGTTTTACGTTAACAGAGCAGTGAAATCACAGCGCAAGGTGCGGAAAGACAGTGAGTGCCTCCTGTACTTTCACTTACATGCTTCGGGGCACCAAGCAGTTTCTTTCCCCTTCAGGTTTCTTCTTGCTCATCTATCTAAAGAGGGTACTTGACCTTGTGATCTTTAAGCCTCTTCAGCCCTCTAAGGTAGTTTAGCATATTATTATATTTAAAGAAGAGGCCTATATAAAGTATTTCTTTGATTAAACTGAATACCCCCTGAAACTTGGGGAGGGAGACCAACCAGATGCCTACATTTTTAAAATGCAGTACACAGACTAAATTCCTGTGTGCATTGAAGATTTGCCTTGGCATTTAGACGGAATTACACTTAGTGAATACTGTAAGCCAAATTTCCCAGTGTGACACCTTCCTAATCAATCACAATCCAAGCCATAACATAAACATACTGAGAACTTGTTTCTTGCCCAACACAGGACTCTTTCCTTCCAGTGCTCCAAAACCAGTGAGAGCAATAAGCAAAACACTCAAATAAGATACCAGCTCCACTGTAGCACCTGATGAGGGGCTTGGGAATAGAACCACCATGTTACTTCTGCAGGTTATGAGAACCCTCTAAACATTCCAGTCTCTCCCTTTCACATGTTCATCCTCTACAGGATTGCAATGTGATCACTTCTCTTCTGATAAAGAAAACAGCAGTTATTTCTTATTTCAACTGCTTTGAGGTATAAAAGGCCAATCTTGTGCTACAGTGTCTGAAAGTCCCATCCCTCTTGCATGGCTGATTCATCATTACTCTCAGATTACAGTCAGAGCTCAAAACTATTTGAATAGCAGATTTCTTCCATCTTGAAAAAAAATGCCCATTATATCACAATACATCTTCAAATAGCTTTAAGTCATAACTGAACATCCATTAATTTCTACCAACATTTATGGAATGTCTTCTACATGTAGGAGTCCCAGCCCCAGGAGGCATAAAACCCCAGATAAGGGAGACAGGCTGAGAAACTCGCCAGTAGCAAAATCTGGCCATCCTGGATTACCACAAACACTTCCAAGTTTATTTCTTTCCTGTGTTCCCTTTCACGCTCAAAAAAATGCCCCAGTTTGGATGACAGATTATATAGTCATCCATTTGAGTGTGGGGTAGAAGACATGATACAAATTAAGGTGCAGAAATTGGACGCATGTTGCAAAGAATCTTAAATTACAGGTTCTAAAGAGGGAATTGCAAGTATTTGGCCTAGCATAGTTCATTCATTCTTTAGTTCATTCAAGAAGTCAGTTTTGAAGGTCAAGTATTCTGCATCGGCCTGGGGGTAAGTGGACATACAATAGGAAGGAAAATAAGATACAGTTTCCTCTCTTATAAAGAACTTGGTTTGTTTGGTAGGAAGATGGTGTACATGGAATGATCTCTTTTATGGAACTTTGTGGTGCATACACCAGGCCTGAAAAACAAGAGGTTCTATGTACAAATAAGTATAGGAAATCCTGCAATATGCATTACTCGCCTTCCATAATGCAAAACAAAGGTTATGAGAAACCTACCTACAAGTTTTATTGGAAAACATTCACAAATTTCTTGAGTTTTAAATGTTTAGGTGTTTATTTTAGATTTTTTATTTTTCAAATAATAGTTACTGATATTCTATAAACTGTGTTTTATGGTATAACATATTATTGTAGTATAAAACTGAACTGGTAATTCTTTTGTTTTGCCTTTTTGAGACAGGGTCTCCCTGTAGCCCCAGCTGTCCTGGAACTCACTATGTAGGCCAGGTTGGCCTCAAACTCACAGAGATCCACCTGCCTCTTGAACTGGTAATTCTTAATAACAAATAAAGCACCATCTCATTGCTCAATGATCCAGCAACCGTATTTTCTGAGATGATTCTTTAACTTCTAAGAAATATCTTCCTCAAACATAAAATTCAAAGGATTTTAAGAAATGTTTAAATTGCCATTGTTATGATTGTATCCTATCTGTATAGGCTATATAGGACAAATATGCATGGTTCAGGCTCACGAACAAAATAATCTTTGATCTCCTTTTTCATACAATCATATCAATATTAATTGTGAAACAATAGGGGGAAACTCAGCAGTATTCACATACAGCAAGAGTACCCCTCCTCCCCGGACATCAAAAGCTTTGGGTAGGTGTGTCGGTCCTATAACATGGGAGTCAGATTAAGTTTACCCAGCAAAGTTCCAGTATTTCTACCATATAATAAAATAGAAAATAATAATACCTGACCTTTTCAAATTTCATGGTACACCAGTCAAATGAAATAAAAAATGCCAAATATCCTTTGTAAGTATAAAATCCCACACATTGAATCAAGTTATTGCCCTTGTGCTATGATTCTCTTTTCTTCTGTTATTAAAACTCCAATCTTCCTGTCTTTTCAAGCTAGAAGCTGACTCACTCATGCCAACCACAAACAATATCTCTATACCTCAAATTGCAAATCGTCATTTCTTTATGGAAGAACATGTTGTCAGAAGAAGAAAGGATGTGGACTCTGGTTTTGTAGCAAATTCGGTATGACAATCTGATTCAGTAGCACTCAGGACTGAGGACTAGATGGACAAACGTATTCTGATATATATGCATCCACACCCTGTGTTTAGGTATTTTCCTTTTCTGGAACTATTGGAATTCAGTATTCTCATGAAGTCTCTAGTTCTGCAAATTCATCTGGCCCAGCCCTAGGGCTGGTATCTGTACAGACAACGCAAATGGAGCTGCAAATGCTTCTAAATTAACCAGCGAAAATTCCTACATGCTTAGAACAGTGTTGGGCATGGGGGTGGGGGTTGCTAAGACAAATAGCTCTGAGACTTGGCCTCTTTCTCTCAGAGTTAAATGTCTAGATGGGACAGGAAAACAAACAATTAGAGACCCACTGGGACATACATTGTAAGGTAGTCTTGACAAGGGTAATAGGATCTGATTCATTCACAGTTTGCCTATTCATCACATCTCCCATTTACTTCCTTAGACAACAAATCCTGATTGAGCTCACACTGTGCTCAGGATGGTGCCAAAGGGGAGGATTTAAAGACTGAAGACAATATCACTTCGGCCTTGAAGACTCCATGCAAATAGGGGAGAGGATATTTACTAGGCGGAACAGACAATAAGGAACAGGAAGGTTCACTTCAGTGCCAGGGAAAGGGTACCTACAGGGGTCACAGAAAGAGCCAGGTCAGACAGAAGCTCCCAGCCACAGAGGTCCTCATTGTAGTTCTCAATCCATATAGGACTGAGAGGCCAAGGATTTGACATGGTTGAGAAGTGCTGGGGCCACCGAGGCCACTTTAATTTCTGAGCCCCCTGCAGTGCCACACCACACTGAGGTCAGCTTGCACACTGGCAAACAGCTGTGCTAAGGCTAAGGCTGGTTTGTGTCCTCTCGTACTCTGTCACTCTCAGGTAACCACCCACACCTCTCCAGGGGATTCTGGGGGAGTCACTCACACAGGTGTGAAAGGAAGTGACTGAAGCGGAGAACTAGTGCCAGTGCTGGGATTAGAACTGCTGCCTAGTGATTTGCCAGGCTGCTGCTCACTTCCAGAGCCACTATCTCTTTTTAAATCCACTCTTGAGTATTCAGAGACTCCGCAAAGCACAGGTTAGCCACTTAGAGCCTCAGTGTCCTCTCACATCCCCCCTTTCTGCCCCTTCCTCTTGGGGCACAAAGCAAGCTACACAGAGACGACACAAACCTCTCACACCTCTCCCCGGACGACCCTCATGTGCTGGGCAGGGATGTGGTCCTCCACTGGCCAGGGAAGGGAGGCATACATCATCAGACAGGTGGTGAGGTGACTGAGAGTGCATCTAACATTGCCGGCCGCCACCCCATGTAGCCATAGAGAGGCCACACAGGAACACATGATCTGCCCAGTCTTAAATACATAGCTTATGAAATAATCAGGGTACCTTTAAATCATCAAATAGTCAAATACATACAGCAACAATAAGTGAATTGCATAGGCTGTTTTAATCATTCTGGAATTAATAATTTTGGAGCATCCTTCTTGGCTGTTATGGTAATATAAGATATCAAAAAATACCCTGATTGTGCATTGAGAGACATAAGCAACAACTAGAAATAATAGAAAACATGGAGATTAGTGTAAAACATTAAAAGAATAATGATCATCATATGGCTAACCCAGAGGAGCTCATTGTATGCTTTTAAGTGCATTACTGCGAAGGGATCGTGAGAGAAGAGAGGTTATATTTTTGTCTAAATCACCCCCAAGGTTGTCCCGCAATACATGACCATCAAAGCTCACTATTCTTGGAATATTCCAGCTTGGCAAAGACTTCTCCGAGTGAAGTGTAAAAATTGTAAATTTAATTGCAAACTAAGTAACTCACCTAATTAAATAATCTGCATAATTGACACTGGCCACAGGTTTGAAACTCATTTCATTTGTATTTTCATTAACAAATTGCCACATTTATTCTCATGGTTGATTCATGGGATACAGAAGTCCTGGATATAGTATTACTAATAAAATGAAAACTCAGGTTATAATATTGTATTAAAAAGTGAGCCTCAGTTTTTTTAAACATTTTATTCTCCATCATTGGCCATTTGTAAAATCAGAGAACAGCAGCCTCTAAATTCTTATTTGCATGCATTTAAAAAAATTTTTTACCTCCCCATCCAGGGAGTCCCAGTTTTCCAAAATGAATTTGGAACTACAAACTGGGTTCACACTAAGATTTGCTGCTGTCCCTTGATTCCTGTCTCATCTTAACCTTTCCCTAGACTCGTTTGTATTCATGAGTTGATGAT